GAACATGATTTTTAAATCTGTTTTGGATACATGATAGTGTCATATACTTATTAGATGTTATTATGCTTATTCTTGATTTTTTAATTGATGAAATATTAAACTCGGTTCTGTCAATTACATGGATGTTATTTTGGATTTTAATTGATGAACCATTAAATTATATTCTGTCAATTACATGGATGTTATTCTGGATTTTAATTGGTGAACTGCTTTATCTATTTTATCAATTATTAGATGTGTGGATTGTATGCACCGGTATGAGACGATGGCATATTAGGGATGGTTTAGCTCAAAATGCTAAGTCCTACATATTCTGGAATAAGGAAATAGATTATAAAATTAAGTCCTACTTATATTTAAGTCAGATTAACGAAATAAGTTGAGTGACTAACTAGATTATTGGTTATTTGTGTTTAAGTCAGATTAACTGAGTAAGTTGAGTGACTAACTAGATTATTTGTTATTTGTGTTTAAGTCAGATCCACTGAATAAGTTAAGTGACTAACTGGATTAGTTGTTACTTATGTCAGATCAATGAATAATTGAATGACATACTCTGGTTTTGGATGGACTTTAAATATATAACTATGGTACCATGATTTGAGCTTGAGTCTCATAATCGATGGTTAGGGAGCGTATATGCATTGGGATGTATAGCTGGCTATGATGATTGAGGTGTACCCTGGTTTTGCATGTTACCTTCTATTCAAGTTGTAATCCAATAAGAGTCCTTTAGTGTGGATATATATATTTGTGGACTAGATAGTTATTGTTAAGTTATTTATGATATATCTGCGTATCGGATCTCTGCTTAGATTATAGTTAGAGTAGAACTTGTTTGTAGGCCTAACCCACCATCATTTTTCAGGTATTCGTCAGGAGTAGGGATTGTTCGTGTTGAGCAGGAATCATCTACTTCACTCTTCCAGATTGTGTTACTTAGGAGTTTCTTTATGTTTCAGTTTTTCTGATGTAGGCAGTTTTGCTGTCATTTGGTTAGTTTGGTTTTCCAGTAGTCCACATAGTATGGACTCCCGAGTTGTATAAGATGGAGGATGATTTGTATCAGCAGAGTTTATTAATGAGAATTGGTTTCGGAGGTTTTATTAATGGATTATTATTTTAGTTTTCTTTCAGTCATTTATTTATTCCTGTTATCTAATTTGTACTATGTGTTCGTTTGTTGCCGATTCGTTTTGATATTCTCGGGTAATCGGGTGTGGGTCTGGCCAACCCGCATCCGGGAATCTTGGGGTATCACATTTTCCTCCCCCTCAGAACCATCCGCTATCAATGTTTGTCGTAGTTTGTTGGAACTTTTGGACATCAAGTCCAAGTAATACAGTTTCCCTCGCCTAATACCACAACCAATCGTCTAGTTTGTGTGGATGTCCTTAAACACACACAAAAAAACAGGCCAAAAAATGACAACACAAGATAAAGCTGTGGTTATTTGAGAAACTAACAAAAGATTATAATCTAAAAATGGAACAATTAAAATAGAATCTAAATGCAGATTATCAGTGAGTGTCAAAGATCCTTCCCCAATAACTGGGGTCCCATTGGCAGTAAAAACAAATTTGTGTGAAGATAAATTAAGATGTGAGACCTGTCTAGAATCAAATGTCATATGATCTGTGGCACCTGAATCAATTATCCATGCACTATTAGTAATATGTGTAGAAATATTGAAATTCTTACCACCAGTGTCTGTTGTCTGAACAACTGCTATAGTGGAGGTCTTTGTTGAATTCTTCTTCCAACGACGATGATTCTACCATTCCAAATATCCCACAAGTTTGAAACAGTGACTTTTGGTATGACAAGTCTGGTTGCAATGAGTGCATTTGTAGGTAAATTTGTCTACTCCAGAGGATTCAATATTTATTTCACTCATTTTTTTTTTTTTTTTTTTGAGAACTGGTTTATCACAGAACCAGTTTTCAAATGAGGTTACAAAACTGGTTTAGTTTTAAACTAATTCAGAACTAGAATAGTATTACACTTGTGACCAAACAGAAGTTTTTGTTTTTTTTTTTTTTATAAATATAATATATATATATTTATATATATACACACAAAAGAAGAACAAAAAAAGATATCTATCAGAAGAACAAAAAAAGAACAGATCAGTTTTGTAACCTCTGATACCAAGAAGAAGAAATCAGGACTCGGCTAGGAGAAGACGAACCGGCGGTAGAGCTCGGCCGTGAGCTCCGGTCGAGGAAGACGACCGGCGATGCGGCGGTGGCCGGTCATCAAGAGATCAGCGACCTCAGAGAGCAGATCCGGTTCAGTTCGGCAGTTCCGGCGACGGCGATGGAAGGTGCAGCAAAAAGATCTGGCGACGACGATGGACGATGCAACAAGAAGATCTGGCGACGGCGACAAGCTTGGACTCGCAGCGCGGCAACAGTGCAGCGGTGGTCCGGTTCAGCAGATCGCTGCAGCAGTTCGACGGCAGATCGCCGGCGGTGGTGCAGCGATTCGGCAATGTCGGGATGGCCGTGAGAACAGAGCTATGGACAGCAGGTCAGCTGCAGCTTGTGATGGCAGTGGGCGTGATTTCTGGGTTGGTAAAAGGTATGATGGTGACTATATGTGTATGGGTGGATGACTGTATGTGTATGGGTACAGGGCTTTTGAATTGGGATTCAAAGTTGCGGTTCAACGATGGCTCTAATACCATCTTAAAATTCAGAGCAAAAATATAAGAATTAAAACTTTATTCAATTTATAGTTGATGAATATTACATTCAATTTATAGAATAGAATTAACTAAGATATATAACTAATTATCTACTAATTAGCTCTAAACAAGAAGGAAATAATTCAATCCTACACAAGAAGGAAATAATTCAATCCTACAGCTTATTATAAGAAATAAAATCTCAACAAAATACATATTTCGGCTGCATGCTTCTTTCTTGTCAAGCATCGCTGCGAAAATCATGCTTTCTATTATACAAGTAAGAGCACCTCCAATGTTAAAAGTTATTTTTAATTGTCAAATTTATATTTTGATAGGTGTTACAGTGTCAAAATGTTACATTTTTAATAATTCTATTCTAACGGTGCATTTCATGCAAAATGTTATTTTTTTGACACAATCACCATTTTTTTTTAATTACCATTCCCACCGTTCATAGTTGCATAAGTAATATTAATATTAAATACATTCAAAGTCAAGTTGTAAACATTAGAAAGAAAATAAAACTAAACCTAATTTAAAAGAAACAAAAATTTTAAATATCTGATAAAAAAAAGGACCAATATATATATATATATATATAAATTTATACATTTGATTATATTGTTATATAATTTTTTTATATATAAATTTTTTTTTTCTTTTTCAAAAATTCATATATATATATATATATATATATATATATATATATATATGTGTGTATTATATATATTTGAATATATTATTATTAAAAACATATATATTTTTAGGGCAAATCATTTCAACCACCCCAATCTCCTCCATCTCTATTCTCGTTCCCAACTCTGAACTCTCCCCCTCTCTCTATCTCTCTCTCTCCAATTGCAAACTAGAAAATCTACAAGAATCAGGAGTTGAAAACCCATATTTTTCAGTTTATCTATTTGTTTGCAAGAATCAAAAGATCAACACCCATATTGGCATATCATTTCAGATTGTTCAAAAACCCATATCTTTCAGTTTACATCGCCTGCTGTTCCAGTTCGGGTTCGCCGTTCGCAAGCTTCAGCTGTTCTCTGAACTCTCAAGCTTGGCCCCTCTCTCTCTCTCTCTCTCTCTCTCTCTATCTCTCTCTCTCTGCAACTGCTAAATTTTATGTATGGGTTTTGTTTTAATTTTTTTTTTCCTAAATCAACTAATCAGGGACTGTAATTCTTGTTTTGCAAACTAATTCCTATTTGGTGAAATTTTTTATGATATTTTTTAAATATATATATATATATAGACGAATTTGGGTTGAAATTATATGCGTGTGTGTGTGGTTGAAATTATATATATGTGTGTGTGTGATCTGTCTGCAAGAATCAAAAGATCAAAACCCATATCGGCATATCATTTCAGATTGTTCAAAAACCCATATCTATCAGTTTACATCGCCTGCTGTTCCAGTTCAGGTTCGCTGTTCGCAAGCTTCAGCCGCTCTCTCAACTCTCAAGCTTGGCCTCTCTCTCTCTCTCTCTCTCTCTGCAAGCTAAATTGTATGTATGGGTTTTATTTTAACATTTTTTTCTAAATAAACTAATCAGGGTCTGTAATTCTTGTTTTGCAAACTGAATCCGTTAAATTTTTTATAATCTTTTATATATATATATATATATAGCCGAATTTTGGTTGAAATTATGTGTGTGTGTGTGTGTGTGTGTGTTGGGCGCGGTGGGGGGGGGGGGGGGGGGCGTGTCGGTGCTAGAGAGCTGCTAAAAAAATTTGACAGCTTTTATATTTGAGGGAAATTTTGAGATTTTCAAATTTTGGGAGATCAAATGAAAGGCCATTGGAGTGACTTTTTTGACCCATCTCTCAAATTATGAGTTTGAGAGCTCAAAATGAAAGAGCACTGGAGGTGCTCTAAAATATGGCATCCTTGGCCTTCTATTTAGTGTCTGTTGTTGAGCAAAAGAAAGAGTTAAGCAATCACGTTGCAGAATAATGAGAACTAGGAAGATTATTGTGATTATTATTTTTTATTATTATTTGTTTTTTGAATGGTAAATTAATAAGTATGAAGATTATTGTTGTTCAAATTACAATATGTTAAATTCCATTACTCTATCTTCGATAATTTTTAAGGGTGGGAATGACTCCCAATCAAGGCTCTGTTCTGAGAAAATTTTGTGTTCTCTTCAGAGGAAGGATTATTTCTCCAATGTAAAATATTTTTTTAAAAAAATTATTTATTTATTTATTTTTTGTGTTTGGTTGTTCAAAAAAAAAAAAAAAAATTATATGTTTTATTTGGTAAATCTTTAAAAAAGAGTAACCGAGAAGTAGGACAGATTTAATAATCAATGCATCAAATAAGAGAACACCTGAAAATATTAAAAATATTTTCAGGACCATTGTCAAACGTTGAAAAATAAAAACTAAAAAAACATTTTACATGAAAATGTTTTTACACCCAAATTAATGAAGCCTAAATCTTAAAGAATGGACAATAAAAAACTAAAATGGCCCGATGTGAATAATTGGAATGATGTTTTTAAAATTTTTATTTTTTATTTTGGAGTTAATCCAGATCATTTTGTTTGTATACACATCTACTTAGTGGTTCCAGGGGCAGCTCTAGCAACCACAATTGGGCTCCTGACTTTATGCACCCCATCTGACCATAACAAGTGTCCAAATGCATAGCCACCGCTCTTAGTTTTCTTAGCTTCTTTCACTGTCACATAAAAGTTCTTCTGTTCATCAGTCTTCGTAAATTCCAAAACATCAGGTCGAACAATAACTAAAAATCCTGGTGGGGAACGAACACGAGCTCTATAGATACCCGGTGACCCAACATTCTTCAGTGTTCGACGCAGGGTAATTGAGCCGGAGAGTTTAGGGACAGTTATTGAAGGGTAGTTGAGATTTAAGATACTGAGAGGATTGGTAAAATTGGGACATACATGACTCTTTGAAAAGAGCTCAATTACAGTTTTTTCATAGCCAAGTGCACAAAGGAAGTCCTTGTAATCCTTTACTTTCAAGTCATAGACCAAGCCAGGATCTGCAGCAAGGTTTGGATGTACGTGTCCAGCACCATAATTGAATGGCGTTGCCTTAACAGAGGAACTACCATTAAACATTGGACGGTGAGTGTTGTCTCTTGTTTTTGCTGCAGATGAAAAAGTACACAAACAAAAACAAAACCAAAAAAAAAAAAATTAGCAAAAGGAAAATGCTTACCACTTGGCCTGAATATATAGTTCAAATTAATTATGAAGCCGAGTAGATGTATCTATAGGACAACTTTTAGCACAAATGTGCTGATAGTACTAAGATTGCTAGAAGATATTAGTGCGACTAAAAGTTAAATGAAATATTACCGGTGGTCATGATTGCGGATCTAATGGCAGCGGGACTCCAATCGGGGTGGATTGCTTTGAGAAGGGCAGCAATTCCGGAAACATGAGGACAAGACATGGATGTTCCAGATTCAAAGAAAAATGTAGTGCGCTTATTAAAGGATCCCAAAGTTGATCCAGTATATGCAGCTATCACATTTACTCCTGGTGCGGTGATATCAGGCTGAATATTAACCCAAAAATAAAAAACGGAGATCGATTAATTACAGTATGCTATTCAAAGTGAATAGTCAGGCCCAACAGTCTGACCAAATTATTCGCCACCATCAGATGTCTTAAAGTCGTTACAAGTGATTCGGTAGCTTATTGGACTTTGACTATTCACATTGAAAATCATCTTATAGAAGCCAAAACTGTACATTGGTTTTAAGTACAATAGGAAGGGGAAAGAAAAAAAAAGGTTCTTGTTCCTGGTGTCAAACCTTGAGGATCTCTGGTGTAATAGTGTTTGGACCCTTAGAGGAGAAAGTAGCCATGACTGGAGCAGGCTTTGAGTAAAGTTCTACTGCTTTACCCTTAATAGTACCCTGCGGATCACTACATTTCATTATAGTAATAAGAATAAGAAAACTGATGAAATTGATGCAATAACTGGAAAAATAGAATTGAGAGAGATAAACACTTGGTAGAGTTGATGTAGGCAAAAAGAGCAAGACCAGCTGTATAATTGATATTTGAAGCAGGAATGCTGTGAGCATCAGCCATGAGTGTATTACCACTTTCCTTACTATTGCAAAGAATCATCCCCACAGCACCGGCATGAGCAGCCTGTTCACTCTTGTCCATTCTCGGGTTGTCGCCCTTAAGACACACCAAGATCTTACCATTCACCTTCTGAGGGTCCAGTTTTTCTTTCTTACACAGCAAACTTCATATATATAAACAAGCAAATTATAAATTATGATCAAATCACATGATGCTCAAGTACTAAAATGATTTTTCTTTTTTCTTTCTTTCTTTCTCATAATGCAGCAGATTGTTCTTACGCGTCAGTATCAGAAGCATTGGCAGCTTTAGCCTGTGCACCAGTAAGAAGCGGGTAGAATCTATCTTCTCGCAATGGTTTAGTAATACTTGTCCCCTAGTATCATATTTTGTATAGTAAATAGAATCTCAAACAAATAGAAGATATACAAGCAAGGCCAAAGTTAATGACATAAATAGACAAAATTTGAATTGAACCTTGAGGCGCATTCCATTATGCAGGTCAATGTAATTAACAAGTTCACGATCCATGGTGCTCGCTGCAACAGTTAGTAGCCATGGTGAAACATTGGAGACACTACCATCAGCTGGTCCATCATTCCCGGCTGAGGTCACCACTACAACGCCATGCTTATCAGCATGGAATGACCCAATTGAAAGGGCACTTTTGAAGTACTCCCTGGCCTTTCCACCAACCGATACTGAAAGCACATCAACGCCATCATGTATGGCGTAATCAAAGGCTTTAAGGATGTCAGCTTCGGAGCATCCTGTTGACCAACATACCTTATAAGCAGCCACTCGGGCTCTAGGTGCACCACCTTTTGCAGTTCCATAGTCAATGCCAAACACACTTGCTCCCGAGACAAAGTTCCCACCTGCCGTTGATAGTGTGTGAGTTCCGTGGCCACCATAGTCTCGGGCACTGCAATTGGAGCAATGGTCTTTGGGGCCATCTTTGGAAGAAGCATATCCTTTGTATAAGTACCTAACTCCGATAAGTTTCCTGAAATTGTCAAAAAAAATAGACGAAATAAGAACTTTTCTTGTTATTAATTTTTTTAATTTCCACCACCCAAAAAAAAAAAAAAATCAACCAGTACGCCAATTTAGTGTCAAGCACAAGCATTAAGCAAGTCATGCATATATAGTTGGTACTCACCTACCCCAACCCCAACCCCCCCCCCCCCCCCCCCCCCCCCCCCCCCAAAGAATTGTTTGCACCTATCAAGAATTGTTCCTATCAGAAGAATTTATTTATATTTCAGATTCATTTTCAATCGCCATTAACTTTATAACATTTATAAATTAGGGACTTGTGAGAGTCCAAGCTCTTGCTAGTAAAGATTATGGAGAATCAAGATCGTTGCTGTTTATATGTACTTGAACTTTCAACAAACCACTTCCAATTACTTTGTTGACTATTTCATTATTGATTAAAAAATCAATAGTTATTCACAAGCTGATTTTTTCGAAACAAAACCAAAATGCCCTTGAATGCCAACTGTTCATTTGGGGCATAATGGGTGTGTATTCATTTTAGAGTACTTTGATATATGGTTTTGTTTGGGAAGCTCACTTCATCTGGATCGAAGCCATCTCGTGACAAGATCTTGGCGAAAGAGTCTACACGATGAAATTCCAAGTTCAAAGAAATGCCTTCTCTGGCACGGTACATGTGTTGACATGAAATATTCATGTGGTCGGGTAGTGATTCAAATGAAACTGGTACTTACTTATTGCAAGGGAATCCATCTTTGGTATCATTCTGACATACTCCATTCCATTTTGATGGAACGGGTCCATATCCTTTGTCACTAAAGCTCTCTGATTCAGGCCAGACACCTAAGAAAAGTAAAGTCATGAGAAATTATGAATTCCAAATTTAATATGCTGGAATCACAGGGATAAAACAGAATTAGTTTGAAAAGCAAGCTATATATAGAGATAATTGGAAAAAGAAAGAAAGGTTTTCAGTTACCAGAATCCAGATTTCCTATAATGATGTCTTCTCCATACTTGGCCTTCTTCCACAAGGAATTCGAGTCAACGAAACCATTGTTATTTTCTAATGAAAGAAAATTCCAAGACTGTGTTGTGTGTAATTCTATCCTTTCATTTAAGAAAACGGACACAACATTTGGATCCTCTGCGTCGATATTTATTGTGAAACATTTATCAGTTTTGTAAACCAAAAATTAATGATCGAAAATAAAGGAGGCAAAGGATTAATGAAAAGTATTTATTGACACAAGATGTTGTACTTGAAATCTTAACCGCCTGTTCCTCGTCAAGCATAGCGGCAAAGCCGTTGATGTATCCTCTATACGAGTAAAATATTGAATCTTTGGCCTCCTTTGTACTGCATGAAACAATACCATGAGCAAAATTAAGAGAGTGGAACATTGTTACACAATAATATGAAAAACACTAACGCCCAATGTCCGACACTAAGAATTTTTGAAACAGGAATATTTAATGTAGACTTAATAATTGACTCTATTTACATAAAATAATTGTCACCTGGCTGAAATTTGGGTCTCCACTCATTTTACACCACATAGAAGTGGATTAATACGTGAAGCCATGAATTATATTTTTTTATGAAAAAACAGAATTCATGGCTAGGCCACGTTAATTCTCTTTTTCCATTTTTTACTATGGAAAAATATAATTTATCTAGCCAACTCCATATATTCATATGGGATTAAAAGAAAAATAATAATAATGGAAAGTGGAAAATTATTTATCAAACTAAGTGTCAAATACCTTCCCAAGAATGATCCAAGAAACTCGTAGTGAGAAGCTGATACCTCGCCGAGAGCTCTCTCTGTCATTTTTCGGCCATGTGAATGACCTCCCATGTACACAATATATGACTAATAAAGAAAAAAATAATAATAAAAAATAAGGGAAAATAATCAAAGCCAGTCCATAAGAACTAGGAAATAAGCTAAAGTCCAAACCAATCCATGACTAGAAGAGAAATTTGTAGGAGTAAAACAGTAAGATATATATGAATTTCCATCATATATATATATATATATATATATATATATATGTAGAGAAAAATGTTGAGACAATGCTTACCTTTTTGACTGCGAGAGATGGTGTTGGGGACAAAGAGAAAAGAATGAAGAGTGCCAGGAAAATTGGAAGTTTTGAAAACAACATTTTGCTGTTTTCGACAATAATATATATATTCTTATGTATTGTGCTTAAAGACTTTAAATCCTTCGTTTGCATTGAGAAAAGAGAAGCGAATGGGACTCCATTCCTTCCGTTTTTGTCCCAAGGAGGAGGGATTGTGTATTTACACCACCATATTGGTATCTATCTATACATATATATAGTGAGAGAGGAGAATTAAATCTCATAAATTCTTCCACCATTTTTCTATTTATAATTTTTTTTAAGTATTTCTGAAAATAAATTGGATAAATGCACGCATGTACTATTTTAAATTAGAAAGAATCTACAGGACATTAGAATGAAAATGTATATATATAAACAAGTGTATATTGGCGTAGATTTCACTCAGATATATGAGACAAAGAGACCTCTTCTAATTAGTCAACATGTAGTAGTATATTACCGAAATGAATGTGTCGACCACATAGAATCAAGGGCAATGCCATAGCCAATTGAGAATTTTAATCGTCTCTTCAGGAACAAATCTTCCTCTCAAAACCAGGTTCTGACAATCATATATTTATCAAATGCCATCAGACCAAAGCTTCAATTGCGGGCTTTGAAGTCTAAAATGGATGCTTCTCTTGCACTGATCGAATGGCATAGTCTTCCCTCTGCTCAGAACCTCCTCCCGATCCTGATTGAGGAGTCATGCTCAACCTATAGTGCCCTAACTCCATCCATTTCTGGACCAATGTTTATGTTGTCTTCTGTTTTTTTGGTTGGGCCTGAGCCCATTTTTTAGCAAAAGCTCAACCCAATGTATGTTAGACAAAATTAGACCATTTACATTTACACATTTTGCTTTAACTTTGGAAAAAGAGCAATGATACTCACACTAAACATTTGTGAACTCCGAATAATTTTTAATTAATTATTTATACCAAATATAAATAAATGGAGGGCTCCACTTCCTTATTTGTTACACAATTGATCAATTAAAAAAAAATAAGTCTAGCAATTTACTGTAACTATAGGTGTATGAATCATTTTCCTTTGAAAAAATAATAATAATAAATTATTTTATCAAATTCCATTACCACTATCATTTAAATTTCAAAAGTAATGTTATTTTTCCAATTGAGAGAATCCTTATGTGAAGTTGTGAACCATTTGTCTCGCCAAAAAGTGAGAGACACACTATTTTTTGGAATTCATTTTGATTAATGGAGATTCATTCCTAACCTAAAATGTTCCAATTATCAACACTTGCAAACTAACCAAACTAACTATGGATTTGAATTGTTCCTATATTTACTATTTATCCTAGTATAGTAGGATATTGGCCTCTTTTTTGTGATTTTAAGAGACATTTTAAAATTGAGCTGTTTCTAGGATTCCTTTATTAGAAGCAAATGTACTGTGCAGGAGATTTTAATAACAGTCTAATTTCTCTGCAATTTGTAATTTGGTAATACTCAATTTATCTTTCCCTTCAACTTTCATTAACGTGAAAAAAATAAAAAATTTATAGCATATTTACAAGAAAAACCCAAATACTGTACATATTTACACAATCATTTTTTATTTATTTATTTTTTGTTTTGAGTTAATCCAACAACCGTCATATCGATTTGTACAAATTGAATAATAACATACAATTAAAAAAAATCTTCATGTACTTGACTATTTCATATCTAATTGTCTCATCCAGGTCACTTTGTTTAGCATACATATCTACTTGGTGGTTTCTGGGGCAGCTCTAGCAACCACAACTGGACTCCTGACTTTTATGCACCCCATCTGACCATAATAAGTGTCCAAATGCATAGCCACCACTCTTTGTTTTCTTAGCTTCTTTCACTGTCACATAAAAGGTCTTCTGTTCATCAGTCTTCGTAAATTCCAAAACATCAGGTCGAACAACAACTAAAAATCCTCGTGGTGAACAAACACGAGCTCTATAGATACCCGGTGACCCAACATTCTTCAGTGTTTGACGCAGGGTAATTGAGCCGGAGAGTTTAGGGACAGTTATTGAAGGGTAGTTGAGGTTTAAGATACTGAGAGGATTGGTAAAATTGGGACATACATGACTCTTTGAAAAGATCTAAATTATGGTTTTTTCATAGCCAAGTGCACAAAGGAAGTCCTTGCAATCCTTTACTTTCAAGTCATAGACCAAGCCAGGATCTGCAGCGAGGTTTGGTTGTACGTGTCCAGCACCATAATTGAATGGTGTTGCCTTAACATGGGAACCATTGACCATTGGACGACGAGAATTGTCTCTTGTTCTTGCTGCAGATGAAAAAGTTCACAAACAAAAAAAAATTCAGCACATATCACTCGGACTGAATATATAGTTCAAATGAGTATAAAACTGAGTAGGTGGAAATAATTTTGGTATCTGTAGCACAACTTTTAGAACTAATGTGATGACAGAACCAAGATTGGTAGAAGATATCATTAGTACGACTAAAAATGAACTGAAATATTTACCGGTGGTCATGATTGCGGATCTAATGGCAGCGGGACAAGACATGGATGTTCCAGATATAATGGCAAAGGGAGTAATTCGCTTGTCAGTTGGTCCAGGTGATTGAGTATTTGCAGCTCACATTTACACCTGGTGCAGTGATATCAGGCTTAATATTAAACCCGAAAAAAAAAATTAAAAAAAAAAAAAATTGGAGATCAATTCATTACAATATGATAAAATAAAGAAGCAAAAACTGGAAATTGGCTTTAATTTTTTTTTTTTTTTTTTTTTTTTTTAAAAAAAATTTTAATGTTCCTGGCTGGGTTCAAACCTTGAGGATCTCTGGTGTATTAGTGTTTGGACCCGTACAGCAGAAATCGGTCATGACTGGAGCAGGCTTTGTGTTGAGTTCTACTTCTGAACTCTTAATAGTACCCTGCGGATCACTACATAATTACAGTAATAATGAGTATAAGAAAGTTGATGTAATTGACATAATAACTCGAAAAATGGAATTGAGAAGGAGAGAGAGGTACTTGGTAGAGTTGATGTACTCTAAAAGAGCAAGACAAGCTGTATAATTAATATGTGAAGCCGGAATGAGGTGACCATCAGCGTAGAGTGAATTTCCACTTTCCTTATTGTTGCAAAGAATTATCCCCACAGCACCTCCACGAACAGCCTCTTCAGTCTTGTCCATTCTTGGGACTTCGCCCTTAAGACAGACCAAGATCTTACCCTTCACCTTCTCGGGGTCCAGTTTTTCTTTCTTACACACCAAACTGCATATATAAAAATAATTAATCAAATTATGAATTATGATCAGATTGCCCACATACTGAAATGATTTCTTGTCATCCTTTCTTTCTTTCTTTCTTTCTCATAATAAATGCAGATTATTCTTATGCATCTCCATCAGAAGCGTTGACAGCAGCTTTAGCCTGTGCACCGGTAAGAAGCGGATAGAGTCTATCTTCTGCCAATGGTTTAGTAATACTTGTCCCCTAATATCACATTTTGCATAATTAATAAATAGAAGAATTAACACAAGCAAGGCCAAATCATGTTAATGACATTATTTCTTCTATTTGTTAATATATATATATATGGGCTAGCCCAGTACACTAGACTCCCATTAATGCATGGCCACCTATGCAGTCTTGCCCGTGACTTTCAAGTCACAATGAAACAACCTTACCATTGTATCAATGATCACCCTCTTAATGAAAAACACAAACATATATATAGACAGAATGTGAATTGAACCTTGAGGCGCATTCCATTATGAAGGTCAACATAATTAATAAAGTCATGATCCATGCATGGTGCTGACTGCAACAGTTAGTACCCATGGTGCAACATTGGTGACAGTACCATCAGCTGGTCCATGATTCCCGACTGAGGTCACCACGACGATGCCATGCTTAGCAGCATGGAATGCCCCGATTGAAATGCCACTTTTGAAGTATGGCCTGGGCTGTCCACCTACCAATACTGAACATCAACGCCATCGTGTATGGCATAATCAAAGGCTTTGAGGATGTCAGCTTCGGAGCATCCTGTTGACCAACATACCTTATAAGCAGCCACTCTGGCTCTAAGTGCACCACCTTTTGCAGTTCCATAGTCGATGCCAAACATCCTTGCTCCCAAGACAAAGTTCCCACCTGCCGTTGATAGTGTGTGAGTTCCGTGGCCACTATGGTCTCGGGCACTGCAATTGGAGCAACCATCTTTTGGGCCATCTTTTGAAGAAGCATATCCTTTGTATAAGTACCTAACTCCAATAAGTTTCCTGAAAATTTTGTGAATAAATAGACGAAACAATAAGTTTTCTTGTTATTCTTTTTCTTTTCTTCTTTTGCCAATTTAGTGGCAAACAAGAGCATTAAATAAGTCATGCATATGTTGTTCCTATCAGAAGAAGTCTCTCTTTATTTATATTTAAGGTTCATTCTCAATTGTCATAAACTTTATAACATTTATAAGTTAGGGACTTGTGAGAGTCAAAACCACCTATTGCATAATTTTCCATAACAATCTTCTGTCCTTGTTCAACTTGAGACTTGGGAGGATTGTCTGTGGTTTCAATCTGCCATCTTTGCTATATGGATGAGGACTCAACTGATCATCTATTTGTTGGTTGCTGCTTTGCTAGGGAAATCTGGTAGTGGCTTAGTGATCTTTTGGTTTGGAGGTTGCCTTTGTTTGACAGCTTTCAACACATGACATTCTGGTTCTACATAAATTTTAGTTCTAATTCAATGAGACACAAGTTTTATAGGAAGCTCTTCTCAGCTTCCTTGTGGCATATTTGGATTGAAAGAAACTTGAGATATCATCATAATTCAGTAAGACCACAGTGGAGATTGCCAAGCTCATTTGGTGGGAAGTGACTGGACTGGCTTATCTATTGATGTGTTACTGCAAAGCTAAGTGAATTTTATCCTTGTTGCTTGAGCTGTTTGGCTTCTTTTGCCTTGTAATTTTCTCTGGTTCAACTGTTTCCATGCTCTTAGTTTAGATCTGGTTTGGGGGCTGCTGTTCGTTTTCTTTCACTCGAGTGTATTTATTGTTCCATTATTATATAAAAAATTTCCGTTTGCCCAGAAAAAATATATATACTTGTGAGAGTCCAAACCGCTTCCACTTTTTTTGTTGACTCTTTTATTATTGATTTTTTTTTTTTTTTTTCTTGGCAAACTTGGGGGAAGGGGGACTCGGGCACACCCATTCAAGGAGCTGGGCTCTGCCTACTGGGTCCAGGGATGGACCTATGTGCAAGTCTACCCCCCCTGAAATTTTATTTTATTTTACTAATATACCATGCTATTTTTTCATTTTTTTATTATATACCCATAAAATATTGCTAATGTCCCCTGAAATTATTACAAAATTTCAGTCTTCCCCCCCTTACCTAAAGTTCTGGGTCCGCCCCTGACTAGGTCACTGGGTAATGCCCACTTTTTCACAAACTTGTTTTTGGAAACAAAACCAAAATGCCCTTGAATGCCAAGTGATCATTCCGGGGCATAATGGGTGTGAATTCATTTGAATACTTTGATATATGATTTTGTTTCCATATGTATGTTGACATATTTTAATATTTTAATATGGTTGGGTAGTGATTTAAATGAAAACCAAACTTACTTATTGCAAGATAATCCATCTTTGGTGTCATTCTGGCATATTCCATTCCATATTTTTGGAAACGGTCCATATCCTTTGTCAGTAAAGCTCTCTGATTCAGGCCAGACCCCTAACAAAAACAAAGTGAAGTTAAATTAGGAATTCTAAATTTAATACTCCACAGAGATAAAACAGAATTAGTTTGAAAACAAGCTATATATATAGAGAGAAAAGAAAGAAAGGTTATCACTTACCAGTGTCAATATTTCCTATAATGATGTCTTCTCCATAGTTGGCTTTCTTCCACAAGGAATTGGAGTCAACGAAACCGTTGTTATTTTCTAACGAAAGAAAATTCCAAGACCGTGTCGTGTGCAATTCTATCCTTTCATTTAAGAAAACGGACACAACTTTTGGATCCTCTGCATCAAATATTGTGAAACATTTATCAGTTGTGTACACCAAAAATTAATGATCAAACATAAAGAAGACAAATGATTAATGGGAAGTATTTATCCACAAAAGATGTTGTACTTGAAATCTTAGCTGCCTGTTCCTCATCAAGCATAGCAGCAAAGCCGTCGATGTAACCTCTATACGAGTAAAATATGGCGTCTTTGGCCTCCTTTGTACTGCATGAAACAATACCATGAGCGAAAGAGAGAATTGAACATTGTTATACAATAGTATCAAAAACACTAACACCCAATCTCTGTCAATCAGGATTTTGAACGGGAAGACTTGATGAAGACTTAATAATTGAGTGAAATTTGGGTCTTTACTTATTTTACACAACATGGAAGTGGAGAAATACAGTGAATTCTCAAATTTGTGACGCTGTGAATTAATTTTTTATGAAAAAAGAGAATTCATGGGTCAGCCACCTTAATTCTCCCTTTTTCATTTTTTGCTATGCAAAAGGTTAACTTATATGGTAAACTCCACATACTCATATGGGATTAAGAGAAATATGATTAGTAATGAAAAAGTGGAAAAATTATTTATAAAACTGTGTTACAAATACCTTCCCAAGAATGATCCAAGAAACTCGTAATGAGAATCTGAAACCTCGGCGAGAGCTCTTTCTGTCAATTTTTGGCCATGTGAATGAGCACCCATGTACACGATATATGACGATTGAAGACACCACAGAAGAAACAAGAAAAACAAAAGGAGAATAATCAAAGCCCGTCCATTAGAGGGACAACAAAATTGTTAAAGACAATACATTGCTTACCTTTTTTTCCGCAAAAGCTGGTGTTTGGAACAGAGAAAAAAGAATGAAGAGTGCAAGAAAAATTAGACGTTTTGAAAACAACATTTTGCTTTCCATCATAGCGAAATGCTGTATTCAACAATGATATATATATTTCCTTAAGTATTGTGCTTAAAAATTATACATCCAGTGTTTGCATGGAGAAAGAGAAGCGAATGGTTTCCTTCCCTCTTGTCCTGAGGAGGAGGGCAGATGAGGGGGGTTGTTTATTTGTACCCATATTGATATCTATATACAGAAGAGGACTACATCTCAAAAATTCTTCGTCTTTGTATAATCTTCTCTAATATAGTAATTCTGAAAATGAATTGAATCATTGGATGCATTTACTATTTATTATTTAAAAGTATAAAGAATCTACTGGAAATTAGGATGAAATGTGTAAATGTATGTGTATATATATAGCCTGTATATTTCACGCAGATATTTGAACTTCAAAGAGACCTGTTTCTAATTTAGTCATCATGCACGAGTACACTACCGAAAATGAATTCGTCTCCCAGACTCCCACACACAATCAAGGGTATGACCAATTGAGAACTTTAATCTACCAAAAATAGAATGTAAATACATCAAAACGAAAAGGAATTTCTGAGTTAGACACCAACTCTGATTAGTCGTTTTCCTAGAAATTCGTGTGTCCAACAACCTTTCATTTCAACAAATAGTGATCTGCTGGTAAGCTAGGTTTTCATGTTTCCTCAATCCTCCTGTTCTTTGCTCACTATTCTAGGCTTGAGAAGTTAAGTCACAGATTTAATTGTTACTAGTATTAACAGACACAGTGGCACTCTTAGTTGGGTCGAATTAGACTCTGAAAAATAATGGGTTAAAAGTAGGTACCGGTTTGGGACTATGTTGGAACCAAACCGTTTCTAATGGTATCACAAAAATTAGAAACAAATGACCCATGAGACACAGGTTTGGTTTGGTTAGGTTTCACTATTCTGCTTTTAACTCCACCTTTCCCTCAAAATCAAAGCCTCAGACCAAAACCCACTGCACCGATATCTCGCAAACACAAATGAAAAATAGAGTACGAAATTCTAATTGCAGGATAAGACGTGATGTCGTCAATAACCTCCGTTCGGCATCATCGATATTTGGAGTTCTGAAAGCACTAAGACTTGAATACCATTTTGCTATTGCCTGCTCGACGATTGTCGCCGACCGTGGGATGGACGATGATTCGCAGAAGATTGTGAGGGGTAGGATGACAACAACTGTAACCAAAACCAAAAACCTTGCCATTGATAGACACATGGTGGCCAAGGAGAAAATCAACGGCGACGATGTAATGGATGAAGAGAGGACAGAGAGAAGAGAAGGGAAGGGACGGCAGCAGCGTGAATATGCGAAATCTGAACTGAGATTGAGATAGGAGTATGAAATTAGGGATTGGACATTATTTTAGTGTATATAACGGTTGGGTCTCCGGTGCCAAATGATACCAAATCAAAATCAGGTTAGAAATTAGAATTGGATCGAACCGTAAAAAATTATGGGACCAAACCGACCCCCTTCAACTTAGATTTATCGGATCGGTTCCATTCAACTAGACTGATCTGTTCCACCAATTTTTTGTACACGTTAATGTTAGAGAAAATAAAAAGTAATGAACTAACTTAATTTGTTCAGTAACCTAAATTATGTAAGTTATAAGTTAAATTTTTATTTTTTATAAATTATAATATTATGGACCTCTTAACAAATATAAAAAATTATAAGATCATTCTCTACCAAACAAAAATAAAGAAAATAGATAATCTTTTCTCTATAAATGTCTCATCCATCCATTCTCTCGCTTCCATCCAATTTTTTTCTTTCATACCGAACATAGCATAAGTGTACGGGTCTAGCGTCGGTATGAAGTAAAATCCAATAACTTAAATTTTTTAGTAAATGGGTAAGCGTCTTAAATCTCGTTCAACATTAATTTCTAAAATTCAAACATGTCCAACCGTTGTAAAATTCAAACATGTCCGACCGGTTAAAAAACTTTCAACTGATCCAAGCGCTCTCGGTGAAAATATTACTAAATGTGCAAGAAACTGCTCTCTATTAGGAAAAGTTAATTTTTTACACTTCAATGAAATCCTTTACATTTTTATCTACCTCTATTTATAGAAGTCTATTCTTACGTTAAAATTAAAATCAAAACCTTGTGATTTTATGGGCTTCGTTTCTTCTTGGGCCGATCTCTAGGTCAAAACGGGCCTAGAGATCTCAAAATATAGAATTGACCTCAAATTTAATTGGGTCAATTTTTCCAAAAGTTCATCAGAGGTAGTACACAATTAAAGTTCATTTCAAACGTCGAAGGATATGCAGAAGGATATGATTTTCATAAATGAAGCAAATTAGCTATGGACATTGAAACAGCTAGACGAATCCATCACCATTTGAGCTTCAAACTTAAATATTCAACTTTCCAAAAAACAAAACAAAAACAAAAAACAAAACTTAACAAATAATCAATAATCCAAAGCAGCAATTTGATACGTATTTACAAAGAATATTTGTGAAGGTTGACTAAGAGAGCATGCTAGTGTCACTGAAAGCCGCAGCCAAGAGCCCTACTTTGGAACCATTCTTACGAGCAAAATCTTCCCTGCAATAGTAAGAAATCACCGGCAACGGCGAAAACCCGACCAATCTCTTGCTGGCCAAGTCATTCTCAGAAACCTTTTTGGCTGGTGCTTCATTGATTGTTCTCTTGTAATAACCAAACCACTTGGCCTGCATGTACCCATATCTCCTCCATGGTGGTATTTGCAAGTCCATCCCCTTCATCGACTTTTTGATTGCTTTGCACATTGTTTTCACAACCTGCTTCAGCTCTTCTACTTCACCCACAAAAACTTGAGGAAATGCGTTGAGTAGAGAGGTGTAACGATCCGTTGGTCGAGCTATTTCAAATTCACCAGCTAGAGATACCTCAATTATGTACCGACTTGTTTCTCCTACTTTAACATCAATGTACTCATATTGCCCTGATGGATACCGTCCAATTTTCCCCCACTTTGATTTGCACAGACCTGCATGTACATACACATACAGTCAGGCCCCATCAACAATATTTACTGTATATTAATTAATGTTTATCGAAAATGAGATGTGAGTAGGTATATTAAGGTACAATAGATCAATAGTATTGGCCCTTTATGCGAACAAATTCTCCCTATTTTATATTAATAATTGCTTCTTTAAAATGGTGTAATTAATATAAAATAATTGTATGCACTTCTTTTGCATGCAATTGGAAACTAATAATTGTAACTAACTTTAATACAGTTTCATCTATTGTCTGTCGAGTGTCATTTTTTTTTTTGACTTTCTACAGAATAAAAACATTTGGGCATGTTAATTAACATCACTATTGAGCCGGAAAAAAACTACATACGGAATCGAATTAAAATGATCAAATAATTTTTGACAATCATTCCTGAGAGTGCATGTAACAAATATTGAACACTAGTCTATCTTTTTAATCTTTATAAAGTGAATCAATTAAGTTGTACGGATGATACTTACCACCGAAAAAACAAAAAATTTACTAATTAATTAATTAAATTAAGAGAATAATAATTAAAAATATATATACGAATGATCTATGAACAAAAATATGAGAGAGAGACTCACCAGCATCAAAGCCCCTCTCGCGTAATCGGGTCATCAACCGGCGCTTGAAACCCGGCGATGTCGAACTTTCTCCGATAACGTGGGGCCACGCTTGTTCCGTTTGGGCACGAATGTTTCGCTTCATTTCATCATCTTCACAGCCTAACAAGCCCCCCAACCTATCCACCGTCTCCAAATTAGAGCAGAAACTTTGAGATTCATCTCCGTTTTCTTCCTCCTCTTGATTAACCTCTTCGATGTCTCTATCTTCTCGATCATCTCTTTCGATAAATGAGGTAACGAGATTGAAAAGGTCCATCGAGCTCTCCGGCGAGTGCTCGCTACCGCTGCTCTCGCATAGACGAGCCGGTGCCACCTCGTGAAAAGCCGCCGCCACCCTCTTGAATCTCACCGGTGTTTTAGCCATTGTTGGTCGTGACAAGCTTCTCAATCAATTTTCTCTGATACCCTTTTCTGTTTTCCGCTTCCTAGATATCTTATATGGCTGGCTTTATATATATTTTCTTTTTGTTGTAGAGAGAATGAGTAAAGTGAAAATGACCCAAATGGTATAGCTTTTGTCCTTATATATATAGACAGTCCTTACATGGATGTCTTGATAATGGTGATAAGATGTTCACATAAAAGAAGATAATTGATGGAGAGTAGGCACAAAATGAAGACATTATGTTACCACTGTGTGTATGCATGTATGGATGATACATGCTTACGCACATCTTGATGAAGTGATCGTGTCCGTCCATTTACTGGAATTTATCTCATATGATGTCATATATTGGAGGAGGAGCTGGAAGGCCCTCATCATTGCAGTTATGGTCTAATCTCTACCGTTAAAATGTTTGATTACTATAGTAGTACCGTGTACTGGCTCGCATGGAATCTCAGCATAATTGACGCCGTTGAAAGAGGACATTTTCTATTGGCTCGTTGACTCCACGGAACGATCTTGTTCACGGCATACGACGCATCACGAATCCACGTGGCTTTCACCTTCTTCGACGTGGCTAACTTGCTCCGATCATTTTCGACATTTTTGTCGCTTTTTCCACGTCATCCGGGTCTTTCTTCTGATGGGAAATACAGAGAGCTCAGCAATTATTAGGGGGTAGGATGACTAAGTTCACTGAACCTAAATATACGTCTAAATACGTTGAACCTTGTTTGTGTGAATATGGATTACGTTTAACCATCAAAATTACTATCCATAATGAGTAGTAACTTGCGTGAAATTTACTGATCGATTTTGAATTTCGTAAAATCACTAAAATTACTATAATTTTAATTAATTTATAATTTATATACTAAACTTGAAGATGAAATTTATTTAAATATAATATATATATATATATATATATATATGTATATATATAATTTTGTATATCATATTGTGACGTGTGTTTAATGTCAATTTTTTAAAGAAAAATAGGGGTTCCACACATATATATATATATATATAATTCTAAAAAATGTACAAAATGTAATGATCAAGTATCCAAATTAATAAAATTATTTTTAAACACATTTTTTTAAGTGTCAAACATGTATTAAAGAATGTCCATAAAATGCTGGTAGACAACAAAAACACCACACTGTTTGTTTGCAGAGCAGCAGAAGTGTAGGTGCTTCTTAAGTATTTACATTTCGTTTTTTTACTTGCACTCTAATCTGTATCTGGCTCCATTTATGGTCATTCTCAATATATTAATTTGCACCACTTGCTCATCCATTCTACACATTTGTACTCTCACTAAAATATGTATCTGACCTCTTTTGAGACTAGGTACAGGGGATAAATAAATAAATAAAAGACTAGGTACAGTTTGCATGGCTTTTTTTATTACTTCTACGCACTTAATTTTCTCTATAAGATGTATCGGAGTGCGTTTACGGCCAGATTCGGTTGCAACTTGCATGGCTTCTCTATCCTTTCACGTGTAGGGAGCAAATTAAAGGTTAGTGTGTCAATAATTAACTGATAATCATGCATGATATAATTTTGGCAGGGAAATTTGTTTTCAATTAATTTAGTTAATTAGAAAGATCGTATTAAGTTGAACCCTTCACTTTGAGGAGATATTATTACATCAGGCTACGTAATTTGGATCAATCACATGCGATTACATAAGTAAAAAGTTGCAAAAAAAGTATTACAAATACATGTATGATTGGATCACATAAAGATTTATCTACTTTGGTTGGTTTAAAAAATACCAATGAATCACAACCCTTGTGCAGAAACCGTTTCCATTGCATTTTTTCTTGTGAAACAGAATTCAAAATAATAATAATAAGGGTTCAAGTGTTAAAAAAAACTCTTATTATATAAAAAAAATGTGCAAAAATCACCCTTATTAAAAATTAAGTATATATAAATTCCTACATTATTAACTTTTGGAGCAAATTGCACCCTAATGATTAATTTTGACCAATTTTTTTTATAAAACACTAAAAAAAACCCTAAACTGAAAAACTATAATTAAATATTTTTAGGCCTCAATTTAGTTTATCTTTCTATAAAATTATATATATATATATATATATATATATATATATATATATATCCTCCATCCCTATATTCAATTCTCTCTCTTTAAAATATATACCAGTCTATAATTCTCTCTCTAATATATATATATTGGTCAAGTGTAAAAAACAACCCTAATATGCTTTGCGTTACTTTCACCCCTATTTAAAATAGTATGATAAAAATACTTATATTCTTTTAAAATTATACGAAAATACCCATCAATCATAAATCTGACGTAAAATAATGTTTATCCGTTTTGTTTTTTTACTCTTCCGAAAATGCCCAAAAGAGTGTGTATGCTAATAATTATGTTACATGTACATTGACTATATTTAACACACTTGTAAAAATTTTCTCTCACCTTTTCGAAAAAAAGTTCTCTCTAAATATTAATGCTAACGATTTATTATCTCTCTTTAAAAAAAAAAAATTATCACAATTGTCAGATTAATGTACAGTATATCATATTGAATGAAAATTTCAGTTCTTTTTATAATTATAAAATTTAAAAAAAAAAATTAATTAAGTTTTAATATAGTTATTTTTTATTAAATATATAATTAAAAAAATTAAATTAATGATACTTATTCATTATATATAAATAATATACATTTAATTTTTTAAAACTTTAAAATTTGCAATAAATTTTCACACACACAAGCATATATATACATATATATGTATAATTCTTTACATAGCAACAAATGAATATTTAATATTTATTAGGGAAAAAATAAATAAACTGGTGTTCAATTACCTATCGTCATCATACTATTCAAATCGAGATAAAACTATACTTTCAATTAAATCTAACCATTAAGATCAAAAAATTAAAAACAATAATATTTTATAAAGTGTAGAAAATATTCCAATAATATACTTATAATACGTATCACACCCTCATGTATTAAATAACTATTTATATCATTTAATAAAATGATATATTTTTAAATAATATATACAATGTGTATATAAGGATAATTTAGTGAAGTTATAACTTTAATTTGTTAGGAGGTATCTATTTGCACCAAATTAAAATTTTACAAATGTTTTATTTTGGGCACATGATAGGTGTGATGGGCTTGCCCATGTATATATTAATGTATATGTGTTGTACACTGTGTGTGTGTGTGTGTGTGTGTGTGTGTGCAACATTCTCTTCAGTTCGCAATCGCAGCTCCTCCTTCGGAATCCTATTTCATCTAGCTGCTTTGGTGGTTGTGCAAATTCATCTGAACTCTAAACCCATCCCAACCCCAAACCCAATTCATCAAATCATCTCTTTCCATACAAATCCCATTGCTGGTTTGCCATTGCTGGTTTAATGGCCTTCCTCTGTTCCAACCCCAAACCCAATTCATCATATAAAATTGAATATAAAGACATGGATTACAGAATTAAACCTTCCCTCTCAACACCAATCAATCTATCTCTATGTATGTATTGTATATACCTATATAAAAAATCACCCCATAAACTGTAACCACCATAACCACCTGAAAAGGCTTCAAATTTCTTCAATTGAGTTTGTGACAAAAATAGGTTGAATCCAATTCTTTAATTTGATTTAGTTTAATGCAAGGAATATTTAGTAACAAAGAGTCAATCAAACAATTTTGGGTCAAAATTAAGAAAATGAAATATGAAGGGTTTCTTATTGATGAGGGAACGTACAGGTCAACTCTTGGGTTTTTTTTTTCAGAGTTCAAAAATGGCGAGCGATGCCTCAGATTTAAATAAAGTGAAGCCACGGACAGTGTAGTGAGGAACGTGGTTCAAATTGTTATTGGGAATGATTGGGGCCGTGAGGTTGATAGAGAATTGGGGGAGAGTGGTAGTGGTGGTGGCTCTTTTCGCCGGAGATGGAGTTCGTGGACAGCTGGTGTGGCTTTGTCTGGGCCCCACCAGTCTCTTGGGGATGTAAAAGAGGGAAAACTATTGTTTAAAGACGCGATATCCTTTGAACATCCATAGACCACAGTTGTTGCCGGGAAACAAAGAGTTTTTGGCGGTGAGAGTTTAGATTGAATAGAAACCTAAACCCATATATATATATATATATATATATATACACGCGCTCACATGTAGAGATAGAGAGAGAGAGAGATTTTAGCCATTTTTTAGCTTAAGTTTTTTTTTTTTTTTTAATAATAAAGTGAGGGTATTTTAGTCACTTTACTAGTTAAATCGAAGATCGGTCCTCATTTACATAAATTAAAAAAGGATAATACTTGGCTACTCACTGGTGAATAGTTTCATCCTACTCATCCCTCATGTGTTTCAATAACAGCATACCACATCAATTTTAATAAAAATGTTATTTAACGATTGATCCGAGAAAATACATAAGAACGTAAATTATTTGGTTATTGAAGCTAATGTGGTATGTTGTTATTGAAACACATGAAGAATGAGTAAGATGAAGTTGCTCACTGGTGAGTAACTAAGCATTATCCATTAAGAAATGCAGGGAATTTTTAAAATGGAGGATAATTCAACATTTTGTATATGAGGCTGGGTTTTTTTTACACTTAACTGACACCTAGATAAAATAATAATAATAATAATAATAAAACTGACACATTTTAAAGTACTTGTTCTAAGCGCAAGCTGAAAAGGTGACGCTTGATTAGATCATAACATGCATGCGCTCGGACACTTGTCATGTTGTTCTTTAAATAAATCCAGAATACAAAAAATTAAAGAGAATGGTTTCATGTACTAAACCCATAAGATCTAAATCCCATAAAATACCCCAAACATAAAAGTGATTTCCGAAATCTGTAACCATTTGGATTGCAAACCCAAATGGCGAGAGCCGCGAGACCAATACAGTTATTCTCGATCAGGCCGAATACACTTCGGTGGTGACACAAACCATCATCAGCCAAATTCCGTCTTTTAGAGCCCCATTTAGGCCATCCCCTTTCTATGGATTCAAATTCACTTTCCATTCATTTTCAACATGATGCCATGATATACATGGCAGGCTAAAAAGCTCTCGGAATTCCACGCATTAAAAACAACAGGAAAATGTGTTTGTGTGTGTGTGTTTTGGGGGGGGGGGGAAGAGAGAGACTGGTCATACTGTACAGTGAGAAATTTATTCATATTAGATGGGTGACAAACACTATACAGAATGTGCACTGTAAAAATGGTCTCCAGCTAAACATTTGGACAGGGTCGTACGAGGCAATATAGTTTACAAAACATGCTGGAGAGGTTTAAATGACACGTCATGCAGTCCTGGAAAGTCAAGTTATTCAAAGCTGCCGCCCTTGGACAATCTGACCAAGCCTCACGTACAAAGCTCGCTGCTCCTCGTAAGTGAGGCTCATTAATATCTGCATCACATTGGGGCCAACAAAAAGCACAGTGTAATCACAAATATATACACAAGCACAACAAAACGAGTGCACTACTTTACCTGGTCCAAAATCATCTCTACTGAGAGGCCTTGAGACACAACAAATGACTGATGATAAATGTAGGCAAACACGGCCATCACCATCTGCACAAAACAAGCCACATTAAGCACACGACCAGACATACAGTGCAACATTATTTTATTCAGATAACTACACAGAGAAAACAGAGACATGTCAGAATATGAAAAGGCCAGCTTGCAACATACTGAGAATCGACGCAATTCATGTTTGGAGCTAAGTTGCACAGAACAGGGAAATGTCCCTTTAACTACGATTGAGCAATGTCTTGCCAATGCTATAAGTAGTATCGTTGAAGCAACAAAAGAGTTGCAGATACACTTCATGATGTTATAGTTGCAGATTCACTTCATGATGTTATAGTGGCACCCAGAAGAAACAAGTCATGGATGCTCATTAGCAGCAAAAAGAGACAAAGGAATACGTGGCCTTATCATATTGAAAGACTACCACAATAAAGAAACATCATAATAAGTCCATGCATAACAATACAAATCGACCAAGCATCCACCAGTATGGAAGCTGCCATGCCTCTACACCAAGAGGGGGGGAAAATGAACATCCACTATTATCTATTATAAAACGAAATCAACACGTAACCATATAACTTTTACAGTAAGGTAAGGGACAACTGGTTTTGCTTGGTAGAGAGGTGTGGTATTTTCCAAATTTAATTTCAACCCAAATCTACTAAACCACAAAACAAGAAAAAAGATTGAAAGGAAGAAAGAAAGGTTAGGGACATGCTGGAAATAAAATTATCAACTAATATGTAATGTAATTATAGACTCAAGTGTGCAATATAATGCCTTCGACAATGATCAAGTCCAAAAAGGTCATAGGCTAAAGGCTATCTCGTATTGATTGTATGGGCTGATATTGTTCCACTAAAGACCAAGACCGGTATGGACTATTATACGCTTGTAAAGAATACCTCACAAATATAATCTTTTAGGGTTATGAAAACCCTTTTGTCCGCTACTTAATTTTCTCTTTTCCAGATGAATGTTTTCAAATTCCAAGTCTTCTGTCCTTTTATAAAAGAATTTTCTGACTTGCATATACTATTCAGAGGTAGAAAGCAAGAGTTTAAGTGGAAAATTCAGAACTCCCAGATCAAAACTTTCCTGTAGTTCTAGCATAAAAATAAATCAAAAGTGCTCTTGTTAGTATAACAAGAAGGAACTTACTATTAATCACCAAAATGTCCAGTGGATAGTTATATGAAACCAACATAGAATGCACCAAATTTGCAACCCCTACTGGACCTGGTTTAGACCAGCATCCTATCTATTTTTGTCTTTCCAATAGCGACTCTGCCGTAAAAAGTTAATCATGCATATTGATATGCATATAACTGGCTAACCGCTTATTCAAAACCAAGAAAATCCTTACCCAATTTTTAGCATCAACAAGTGAGAAGATAATAGGAAGACATGAAAGATTAATTACATCTCGTATAAATATGTGCATTTCATGAAAATAGGTCAGTCTTTGTATGACGGAGGGAGTGAGAATTTCAAAATAAAACCATCAACCATCAATCAGAAACCACCTTGTTTAATCTTGTCAAAAGAGTTGGTAACATGCTGCTACTAAAAAAAACCTCACATGTACATATACGTACACCTATTTCACTGTTTACCAGGTAATCCAGTATATCTTCGAGAGAAAACATTCATAATTGTATTTGCAGCTCACCTGGCAATCCATTCTATCTGTCATTCCACCATGGCCGGGAATACTATCTCCAAAATCCTGCAACAAATGGGAAAAAAATACGAATAGCATTAAAATATATGAGCTTAACATGAATCTACATCAATTGGTCATAAAAAAATAATAATAATAAAACACTGGACCTTGATCTTGAAAGCTCTTTTAAAACCACTTGCAAAAAAACCTCCAAAGGGGGCTATTATTGATGCAAAAAGACCAAGACACAGTGCATGCCACTGAACTGGCAAAATTGGGATCTCTCTCCATGGGAACTGCAAAATAAAATGACAAAAAAAGAAGCATTATAATCAAGTACTCAATACTTTTATGAAGACAAAAGATTTAAAATCTTATGCCTCAAATGAAAAGTGTGGATCGGAATAGGCTAAAAAGGAGGATCATGGTTTATGATCCTTGCTCTAAATAGTAGTGAGCAATGCTTAATTATAATATATCTATAACCCTATTCAAACCAAGATCATCTAGTCTACACAGAAAATGCAGAGGAAGAATGCATTCATGATGGCCACCGTTTCCTTGAAGCTGATTGTCATTATATCTGATTATGAAAATACCCATAACCTATGTTACATGGACTCTTCAAAAGTAGTGAAGTACCCGAGTCAGACACATATTACTTAGACATGGCTATGGGATATGTGTCCGACACTTTTGGTTGGACATATACTTAAAAAGCATATCCAATCATTCATTTATATCATATTGGATGGTCGAAAATATAGGAGCTACTATCCATCAGAGGGAAACAGTGACCTGACACTATCCATTCTTCAAGCAATAGTGGAAGGAAGAGAGGTTGCAGTGATTGATGAGGCTGTGAACACGAGGCCTTTATCGTCCTAGAAAGGGGCACAGGAGGTCAAGAATCTTATCTCTTACGTCAATTATGAAGGGAAGAAAAGGGCTGTGAGGGAGAGAGGAAGGACTAGAAGTAAGAGTTTGAGGAAGGGAGGAGGGGAGATTATCTTATCTGGTTCTTAATGAAGCTACGAATTATTACTTGGAATGTTCGTGGTCTCAACGATCCGAATAAAAGCAGGGTGGTAAAGGTAGCTTTAAGGAAGTGGGAGGCCCAGGTTGTTTGTTTGCAAGAAACCAAGTTGGCATCCATTTCTGATGGGGTGGTTAGGAGTTTGTGGGGAGGAAGGTTTGTGGAATGGGAGACCTTGAATGCTACAGGTACTTAGGGCGGAATTTTAGTTATGTGGGATTGTAGATGGTTGTCTAGGATCGACGTGTGGGTGGGGAGATTCTCTGTGTCCCGTGAGTTCAAGTTGGAAGAGGACGACTTTAGATTGGTCTTTACTGGGTCTATGGACCGGTTGTTGATAATGATCGACCTTTTTTCTGGGAGGAGCTTTGCCATGTTCAAGGTGTGTGGTCTCTTCCTTGGTGTTTAGGTGGGGATTTCAATTCTGTTAGATTCCCATTGGAAAGGTCCACAGGAGGAAGGAGGTCTTCTGAGATGGATCAGTTTTCTGACTTCATTGACGAGCAACTTCTCATTGATTTACCAATGGAAGGCGCAGCCTACACATAGTCAAATGGTAGGGACCCAATCACTTTTTCAAGGCCGGATAGATTTTTGATTTCTGGGGAATGGGAAGAGAAATTCCCAGATGTTCCTTTGGTTTTGGATTGTAGGGGTTTGTGTTCCCGAAGGTCCCCGTTTCGATATGAGAATATGTGATTGAGAGCGGAGGACTTCCAACATAAAGTTCAGTCTTGGTGGGAGGCAACTTTTGTTACAGGTTCACCTAGCTACAAGTTAACTACGAAGTTAAGGGCTCTCAAATTCGATCTTGAGAAGTGGAATAAGGGTGTTTTCGGGAATCTTGAATGAAAGAAGAATAGAGTCCTTGCTGATTTTTCTGAGATTGATGGTCTTGAAGAGGTGGGTGGGGATGTGGAGTTATTACGTTCTAGAAGAGCCTCCTGTCAGGCAGTTCTTGCTGAGATTGCTAATATGGAGGTGATATCGTGGCGACAAAAATCCCGGGCTCTATGGCTAAAGGAGGGAGATCGCAACACAAAAATTTTTCATAGACTCGCAAATGCTCATAGAAGGAGTAATCAAATAGGACGAATTCGGGTGGAAGGTGTGGAGTTGTGGAGGGAGGAAGAGGTGCGAAATGGGATCGCTTCTTTTTATCATAAGTTTTATACCGAGCCGCTAGCTTAGAGACCTAAACTTGATGGTCTCCATTTTGAGGCTATTTCTGAGTTGGATAGAGAAGGGCTGAGATTCCTTTTACTGAAGAGGAAGTTCTAAAGGCTTTATCAAGTTGTAATGGGGACAAAGCTCAGGGGCCTGATGGGTTTACTATGCGATCTCTGATGGAAAGTTGGGCGGTTGTGAGAAATGAGGTGATGGGTACATTTCAGGAGATTCATTCTACTAATGCCTTTGAGAAGTCGCTAAATGTCTCATTCATTGTCCTTATTCCTAAGAAGGGAGGTGCTTCTGACATTAAAGACTTTAGAACAATTAGCCTAGTGGGTTGTATATACAAGCGCATGGCTAAGGTTCTTGCTCTTAGGACGAGGGAAGTAATGGATAGGATTATTTCGGATTCCCATAATGCTTTTGTCGGAGGACGGCAAATTCTTGATTCAGTTCTTATCGCAGGCGAACGTGTGGATTCTAGATTGCAAAGTAGTGTTCCTGGAGTTTTATGCAAACTTGACATTGAGAAAGCGTATGACCATGTGAATTGGAATTTCCTGCTATATTTGCTACAGAGAATAGGGTTTGGAAGTAAATGGAGGAAATGGATTGAGACATGTCTTTTGTCTGTCAAGTTCTCTGTTCTTGTAAACGGATCTCCTGCTGGTTTCTTTGGATACACTCGGGGTTTAAGACAAGGAGATCCTTTGTCGTCTTTCCTTTTTCTTATTGTTATGGAAGGTTTAAGCAGACTTATGCGAAGGGCAGAGGATCTTGGTCTTATTAAGGGCTTTATGGTGGGAAGAGATCTAGCCCATCAAACAAAGATCTCTCATTTACTTTTTGCGGATGACACCCTGGTTTTCTGTGATGCTGATGTGTCTCAACTTAGATATTTAAGGTGCATCTTGGCCTGTTTCAGGCCGTTTCCGGTCTAAAGGTCAACATGGCTAAAAGCGTGCTTGTTCCGGTAGGGGATGTTTATGATATCTTCTCTTTAGCTGCAGCCCTTGGGTGTAGGGTGAGTTCTTTTCCTATTCCGTATTTGGGTTTGCCCCTAGGGGTTTCCTCTAGGACAGTGGGGAGTTGAGACCCTGTGATTGATAGGTATGCGAAGAGATTGGCAAGATGGAAGAAGCAATACTTGTCTTGTTGGGAGGGGGGGGGGGGGGGGGAATTACTCTTATAAAGAGCACTCTATCAAGCCTTCCCACATATTTTTTATCTATGTTCCAAATTTCCTGCTTTGTTGCTGCTAAGATTGAAAAAATTCAAAGAGATTTTCTTTGGGGCGGAAGGGGTGAAGAGTTTAAGTATCACCTTGTCAGATGGGAACAAGTTTGCAAGTCCATGAAGTTAGGTGGTCTTGGTGTCAGAAGATTAGTATTCTTTAATCAAGCTCTTTTGGGTAAATGGCTGTGGAAGTACGGGAGGGAAAGACGTCGCCCTTGGCGAAGACTAATCGAATGCCGGTATGGGGAAGAGAGTGGTGGTTGGTTTACTCGTCTGATTTCTCTCGTGGGAGGAGTTGAGGCATGGAAATCCATTCGGAAGGGGTGGGATGCTTTCTCTTCTCACATCAAATTCAAAGTTCGTGATGGCAGAAATCCATTTGGTGCCGTGACCAGCCTTTATCTCGTACATTTCCCAGATTATACAGTATAGCAGTTGATAGACATACCTACGTAGCTAACTATTATCGGCTTAATAGTAATGGGATTACGTGGGACGTGCACTTTCAGTGTTCTTTTCAGGACTGGGAGTTGGACGAGGTATGTATTTTTTTGGATTTGTTGTATCGACAAGAGGCAGTTGGCAAAGGTAGTGACGATTTGACATGGATTCCCTCTTCCCATGGTCGTTTCGAAGTTCGTTCCTTATTCTTATGTCTATCTAATTTTGATCTCATTGATTTTTTATAGAAGACCATCTGGCGTTCTATGGCTCCAATTAGGGTGGCATTCTTTGTATGGACCGCTGTATGGGGTAAGATCCTGACGATCGATAATTTAAGGAAAAGGGGTAACTGTTTTGTTAACTGGTGTTGCCTATGCAAACAAGACGGTGAGTCAGTTGATCATATCCTCATGCATTGCCCCGTGGCGAGCAACTGCTGGAATCTTATTTTTGGTTTGTTTGGTATGCGTTGGGCTAAGAAGCACGGACATGCCAAAATGGGCGAAGAATCCGTGCCCGACACGCCAAAAAACGTGTCTGGAATTTTTTTTTTTTTTATTTTCGAACACGGCATAGACACTCTGCGGACACGCGTCCAACACGCCAGGGGTGTGTGTCCGACACGTATGTCTTTATTTCAGGGGTCTAAAAGATAATTTTTGAAAGAAAATTGGGTTAAAGTATAAATATGTGAAGTTATTTAACAACTTTTACTCACTTATGTGGTCAGTACATAATAATTTTAAACGTTTAAGGTTAATATGCAATTTTAGACAAAACAAATAAATATTTAAGGGCCAGTCATTACACTATTACAGTGGATGAGTTATGATGTGCGTTTTTTTTTCATTATGAGATTGATGAAAAATAATAACACTCAGTAATTTTTAAAGTACTACATCATATATCTATATAATATATATATATATACACTATTCGCCGTGTCCTTGTCCTAATTTTTTTGGATTTGCCGTGTCTGTGTCGTGTCGTATCCATGTCCATGCTTCTTAGGCGTTGGGTAATGCCTCGTTCTTCTAAGGACTTGTTTCGCGCTTGGAGAGGATGTCGTGTGAGAAGTGATGTACGCGATTATTGGAGAATTGTCCCACATTGTGTTTGGTGGTGCATATGGAAGGAGAGGAATAGTAGAATGTTCGAAGAGAAAGAGTCATCCACGGCGACGCTAAAACTTCATATCATTCGCTCTCTTTTCAGTTACGTGAAGAGGAAGTCATGTTCCTCTTCCGATGATTTAATCATTTTTTTGGATTATTTGGGGCCTTAGACCTCGGTTCCAATTTTATATAATGGACGCGTTCCCCTCTTGAACGCCTTTTTATTTAATTATTACTTATAAAAATAAAAATGAGTTAAATGTCTATATTAAACATTATATTAGATAAAAAC